CAGCCGCTGCCGCTTTGATAGAACCGCAAGAAACCATTGTGGAACTATGTGGGATTGGGCAGATTATCAGCTATTGCGCACGATATGGAAACCCTAATGGCCCTAATGCTTTCCATGGCAAAGGCACCATGCTTCTTCTTGACACCCGCGGCGTCTGCGCTTGGAACGCGGAGATTGCTTTCCTAGGCCATGCATCATGTGTCATGTGGGTCTCTCAAGCCGGCCCGAATGTTCTGCCACTTCAAAGCCCATTGAGCTGGCTATAAATCAGGACCTTCCCAAAATCCCATGAAGTGTCTTCCCTCTTCGCCGCCAAGCTTCTACAATGCTCTCAAAGTTCTCTTCCGCTGTCCAATGGAAAGTCCTGGGACCGCCAGCTCTATGCACTTATTGAGCCACCTAGCTGGAAGAAAGAGGTGCTGTATCGGAGCTGCCTGCTGACTCAACCAAGGATGGATTCACGAATCCGTCAAGCCCCTGGGCGAGCCAACACCCAAGGTCATATGAGACTCAATATGCCCCTTAAGGCGATCTCGAAATTGGTGGCTCTAAATGAAAAAGGCCCACGAACTAAAGCGTCGCAGGAGACCGGAAGCTTTTCGATGATTTAGCATCTCATCCCTCTAGTCGTGGCCGGATGCTTTATCTAACCTAACCCTTTTTGAAATTAGAGCTTTTCAGCTAAGCTCCCACCGCCCCCACAAAGATTAAAAAATCACCCGACATCAGCCAATATACGCCCCAAACTCCTATACCTAGACCCTAAACCCTTAAGCCATCTTAAGCCCTATATGCCAGTAGATTCTCAATCACGCCTACAACCTTCATTTTGGAAACTTCTGCTGCCCAGTCTCACTTGTGGACTTGCCAGATTCGGCCCCAACCTTCTGGAGTCGGGCCGTCTTTTGGAGTTACAGAGCGGGGTAGTCCTGTGGCTATACAGGTTCCTAGCGTTCAGGTTTTTGGAGGTCGAGGCTTCGGATGTAGGGCCTCAGGTCCCGGGGCGAGGAGTCCGGTTAAGGGTCTTCGATGTGTGGTGATGATGCTACTGAGGATGGCAGTGCTGACAGTTTGATGGTCTTGATGCTTGCTCTGCAGACGAAGCCGTAAGCACTGCAAAGTCGGTTTACACCCAGCCGCTCTCGTAGAAAGCGCACATAGCGAAGGAGGAATGCCAGGGCATTGTCGAAACCTTGCAAGGAACGACTCAGATAGACCACCCTTCCGAGCAGCTGCCGGCACACTTAAAGAGTTTTCAGTGGTGGGGGATGGCCAAACACGCAAATTATGCCAATTATCTGAGTTCATCGGCAGATGCAGCCAGTGCCGAAGCCGAATTTCAACATGAAGCGACTGCTGCTTTGCGGTTCCAATCCACAGCAACAGCGAAAACACCATCCTACAGGATTTTAGATGATGAACACACCAGCCAAATGGGGAGTCGACGAGAAGGCATACCTCTGGAAAGCTGGGAAGCTCTGGGAAAGCCTTGAGGGCCGTCAGCAGTCTTACCTATGGCTCTCAAATCCACATGGACAGGACAAAAACCGCAGTTGCAAAACTGTGACCGTAACCAAGTACTGAATGCAGGAAACGCTGTGACAACCAAAACCAGAGAGTCGCTTAAGAAGAGCTCTGAACATTGCTGGCAAGGGGCTAACAACTTTGCCTTCACATGGGAGTCCTTTGGGAGGCCGCACCTCCTGCGAGCTCGCGGAAAGAACTCGACTCGCATAGCTTAACTACAGCGCAGTATGGCTCAGTACTATACGGTTTAAGATTTGAAGCGATAAGGTTTTGGGGGCATGTGCGACGTTGTTGAAATTTGCGTAGACGGGGCAGCAGCTGGTACTCTCACTGTGTATCCTTTAAGGCAGCACCACCGAAAACGGCACTCACGGAGCATCGATCGAAGCCCAAAACCCCCCACGACTTTGCGTCCTCGGCATTGCGAAGCAATTCTACCAGACGCACCGTCCGGTCTGTTACGACATCCTCGTCCACTTCGATTCCCTGTGCACGTTGGTTGCGGGGATTCAGAAGGGGCAGGGCTCTGCGTTCGCGAGAGACAAGACATGCGGCTTGTTGGGTTCATTGGGGTCTTTGTGCTTTTGTCTCCTGCTGATTCCTCCACCCTGCAGTGCTCCAGCTCCTCAGGCTGTCAGTTCTGCGCCGATGCCATGTTTTCACCTGTATATATCTTCCATTCAAGTGTGGACAGGAGGTTCTCATATCATATAGTGGTCGGATTAATTGATAGCATTCTCTAGTTACAGCCCGTTTCCATTTTTGCAATAAGAAACCGCCCAAAGCGCTGTTTCTATTCCTAGGCCCCATCTTAGGCAAGTCTTGAAAAGTGCTTGCCGCTCTCGACCCTGCGCCCTCTCGCCTCCTGCGTCTGAGGATCCTCGGTCACACGATGTTGCATGCAGCTGCTTACCGTCATAAGGGTGAAGGTTTAGGGTATGCTTTAGTGTTCCGGAGAGGCTTCTTTTGCTTTCAGTGGATGGAAGGATCGTGCTTGCATCCTGAGTTTATGCCTTTGCACGGCAGAAACTTCCAATGCCACAGCTTTGAGATGGCTTCATCGATTTTTCTGCCCTGCTGTCTTTGTTCAGCCGGGCAAGCTTGGATGTGAAACAACAGGATGCCTTGTGAACTATTGTGAACTTGCATGATCCGGCAGCTTTGAATAGGCGTTCATGATGCTCAACCCCGAGTCGCGTCGCTGTCTTTGCTATGGGCTCGATATTCAGAGATTTTTCCTGTCTTTTTCCTTCCCATGAAGGTTGTAACGGCTCGCGGCTACTTGACGGACGAAGTAGACCAATGCCCTAACCAAGCTTCAGGATCTGCTTCATCTGTGGCATCTGGAGTGTGCCAGTGCAGAGGAGAGGTCTTCGGCCTCAGGCAGGTCGTACAAACATGATGTGATGAGTCATGAGCCTATGTGTGTTCTTGAAGTGGAGTTGGTCTTTCGATACAAAACCCCGTAGTCGCAATCAGTGCCTGCAGGTGCCGTCACTTGTCCCAGGATCAACCTGCTAAGGCAACAAAGCCCGGCATGGCCCGGGCAACCCTCGAGCGGCCTGCGCGGAGGCTTGGCGCCGCCTTCACGTTGAGTCGCCGCCAAAGCCAAAGGCCCACGCAGGTCCACGCCCTGGAGTCAAGTTTTTGCGGTCTCTACAATACTCTACAACTGCAACACCGAAAGGAAGTGCCCTGCTGGGACTGCAGCCCGGGCTGGAGCTTGCAGGTTTCACATGGTCCATGAACCACAAACGTCCACAATTTTCAAACAGCGAGCCTGGGAGAACGTGCGCATGCCATTATGGCGCATGGGCTTAACATGAATGGATAGTTTCTGTCAGTCTTTGCTCATCGGGAGTGCCTTCAATGCTGTCTTGAGGCCTGGAAAAATTACGAAGCGTACATCTTGACTTGGGATTGGCAGAGTGCCAAACTCCGGCCAAGCTGCTTGACAGTGCTGGGTGAGAGATGTGGGAATGAGGCGACGGGATTTTCTCTTTGACTCACCGGGTTTGTGGCTTGTGTATAGGGAGGAGCATGAACCTCCATCTATCTGACTTCTGAAGCCCAGCACAGTGCACAGGTGGCAGGGGGGTCGGCGCGGCTAGTCGCCGGCTCTCCGTGCAAGCATGCAAATTCATCAGAACTTGACTCGCTGAGATGGATTCTCACTGACAGCCTCAAGAGGTTCTCTGTTCGGCTTCGAATATCTTCGAATGACCTTGAATGATAAGCTCGCCAAGCTTACAAGCAGGTTCTGATTTTCGATGGACAACAATCACCACCCGACCACGAACACACATGCTGCAGGTGCCTCAGCGTCCAAAAAAGACCTGAGGTAGCGCCCGACTCGTGTGAGTTGCAGCCCTTCCGCACAGAGGTAACGCAGACATGGCTTACTGCGATGCCAGCACAACAGCCATCCAACGGTAAGAGTGCATTCATGTGTCGCAGCTGTCGTCACCTGATGTCAAAAGAACATGCAGCCGCAGTTCAGCAGATGCATTTCGGCGAAACAAGGAGGAACACATTATCTTGCCTGTAGTCTACTATGAGTACGATTATGTATACTGCGGTCATGCATCTAAGAGGCCGGCGGCTGCAAAATTCCGGCATGGCGCATGGCAGAGCATCGGAACTCTGGATCTAGGAGTCTGCATCCAGGAGGCTACTGAAACTGGAGGGAGACTTGGCTCGAGGATCCAAGGACACTGGCGAATGTGTGTCGGTGAGTTCTGGGTTGGGAGCAGTTTCGACTTTGCCACAGCTGCCGTCCTAGATGCAGCCAACCTGCGGGAGCCACATGGAACTGAGGAATCCTTGCGCTGTTGCCAGGCGGACGCATGATCAAGTGATCTCCGCTGCGGCCCCTGTCCTGAAGTTTCGCTCCCCAAACACTCTTTCCAGGAGCGATGCCTGACGTCGCGAAACAGCTGGACCAGTTTTCGGTTCCCCAGCAGCATCTTTACCCGATTTCCCCACCCTTCAGGCAGGAGGGTTTTGGTGCCCGTAGGTGCCCGTCGAATGTACAAAGTCGGGGACACCAAGATATGGACTGCGAGCTGCGAGCGCTCGTATTCCTTCTCAGGGTCCAAGATGGTGATCCTGAAGAGGGCGCGATTGAGCCGCGACTCGGAAGCCGAAGCACTTTCAGTTTTCAAGAGGCCGGAGCGTTTTTGGGACGTTGAACAATACCTCTTGCCTCTGGTCGCTGAGTGACAGAGCTCCGTGCTTCTCATCTTTTGGAAGCCCAGCACGACTCGCGGGACAAACCCAGGTGGTACTTGACCCGAGGCTCACAATGCCACCTGAGATTCGCACCTGGGATAAATAAAGACTGACCTTCCGACGGCTAAAACGATAAAAAGCGGCTAAGGCGGATCTGGCATCGACATCGGACTTGGATTTGCAGCTGAGTGGGTTTGATTGAGCGAGTTCCTTTTCCTATCCAAGTCCCATGAAGATGTGGCTCACTTCTCTGTAAGCACGTGGACAGGCGTCCAGTCCGCAGGAGGTGGGTCTTGCGAGAGTGTCTCCACTCGCTGGAGAAGCATCTTGCTTGGCACGTCCTTGCATAGCGCATACCATTTTGAAGAACTCACTTCCTTAACTGACTGCAGTTGGTACATCATTGCAAATGGTGAAGAGGCTTGCGATTAGCTGATTCTTCCGGAGGTGGTAACTACAAGCATGGTGGGTTTCTTCAACCCACACCCCATGCCTGGGGAAATTGCTGAAGGTACGCGGAGAGCAGGGATCTGGCAGCCTGCGACATAGCCCGCTGCGTTCTTTGAGGAATTGGTACTCGAATCACAGATCGATTCTTCACGATTCTCGAGATCAGTCCTGAACTAAGCTTCGATGGCTTGGCTTCTTTCCCCCAAAAGTCAGACACCTCACTACCGAAACGTGCAGAAAGTCTGCAATCACCTTCGGATGTGCGATCTGAATGCATGTATGAAGATTCTTAGTGTGCACTGCTTCGTCTGCTTGCCGCTCCAGCTCGAGCTATGCACTCCCTTCCTGGAAGTCAATACCGCCTGGCAGGAACCAGAGCAATGAGTGGACCAAGGCCCAAACTCCTGCTGCTCAAGCCAGAAGCCCCCATGTACTCAGCACTCTATGTCAGCCTCGAATTGTCGTGCTCGGTAGAGGGCGTGGACTTGAGTGAAGCCATCAGTGAAGAACCTCAGATCTGCAAATGGGAATCATCCATGCTCGTGTCCTACAGTGACAAAAAAAGCAAACGTCGTGACAACACGAAGACAGCATACCAGCTCGACTTCGATAGTTTGACACCGGCGGACATGTGAAGTAAGCTTGCAGTATCGAGCGAACGGTAGAACGGCGCCAACCAGACGTCTGTTTAAAATGTCTTACCAACATGAACAGTACACTGACTACACTGCCCCAAAGCCCATAAGGAAGGGATTCCCGGACTGCCGGTCCACCGAAGTACGCGGCCCGTATAGCCCAGCGAGATATGCCAATGCGTCTTTGCACACCTAAACGACGAGTCGCTGTGATGCATGACAGTGTACGCCTGAAAGTCAGCGTGATGGCTTTAGCTTCTCACAGTCTCATTCTTACTTTTTACTGGGCTCTTCCCTTAAACCTAATCTCTATGTCTGAGACCAGGAGCTGCACTTCCTCCGGCGATTCGAAAGAGTCGGGCAAAGAAGTCCGAACCTGAGGGCTACGACGGCTACGACTTGCGAGATGAATGCAACTAGTGACGACTTGGAACGTCAGGGCGGCGACTGGCACAGGAATTCTTGTGCAATTTTGGTAGCTTGCTGTTTAGACTGGCGCCCAGGTCCTCTCCTTGCTAGAAACCAGTGTCTTGCAAGACACTACAGCATGAGAGGGCCATGACGATAAGTTGCTCGTTGCCTGCCCGTCCACAATCGCTTATCACTCGTCCCTCTCTGGTCGTTGAGGCTACGTCATGCCTTCTGCCGGCATGTGGCCCCGACCAGCTGGAACAGCTCCGTCGCCTGAAGGGAACAAGTTCGAGGTACCTTTGCCTGCTTCAATCTTGTCTATTTTTCTGGGTTTTTTTTTGTTTTTTTTTT